TTTATTTTTATGCACTTAATCCACCACCAACAAAGAAAACGTCATGGCAGAGTTAAACTAGAAAGAACTCATATGCGTTAGTCCTCCCCGTGACTCAGCATCCAGCCTTGTTCTCCTGTCCACCCACCTGTGCACCGACAAGGTTCCATATGTGAGGGACAATATGTGCTTCTTTTTCCAAGGTTGTGATGCCACTTATGTGTTCTATGTGTTCCTACAAATTTTATGATTGCTTTTCCTTAGAGTTGAGTGCTACTTTATTTTTTATATACCTCAGATTTTATTTGTTCATCTGTTGATGGACAATTGAATGGATTCCAGTTCTTTGACTGTGAATAAAGCAGCAGTAAACATGGGCTTTACCTCTGGTAGGATATGGAATCAATGTGGGGTACAAGTATCTACCCCACTTGTATGGGTGTGGAGTTCTCTGGGGTGTGTGCCCAGGATGCAAAAGTTTGGGTCATATGGTAGTTTTACTTTTGGTGTCTTGAGAACTCTCCAAACTGATCTCCCCAATTTTTATAATGCATATTTAATTTCATTTGCAGGATTAGCTTCTGCATTTACATCAGGTCGCCACAAGGTGGCAGCAGCCTGCTGTGATCTCTTTTGGGGATTTTATTTCTGTCCTGTAGCTTTTTCCTCAACAAACTATTTGTCAGCTAAAACAGATTGTGCACACCAGGCCCTGCTGATTTGGAAAAGCTAAATAAACACATCGGCCTCCAGAAGTCCAGGGAAACTGGCTCAACCAAGGTTCCTTTTTAGAGGACTGATGATTTATGTCAGAAACTTAAAATGGTTCTTATCTGTAGCCTTGCAGGGTACTTCCACAGTTACCTGGCATTGGGACACTTGTTTGTTTTTAAGTGTGTACAGAAGTTGGCGGGGCCAGCACAAATTTCTCTGTAGAGTAGCTTTCGAAGAACTTTTTTTTTTTTATCTTTTTTTTTTTCTAGGGTTTCTCCATGTAGCTTTGGAACCTGTCTTGGAACTCACTCTGTAGACCAGGCTGGCCTTGAACCTTGAACCAGATCCACCAGCCTCTGCCCAGTGCTGGGATTAAAGGCGTGTACCACCACCACCTGGCCACTTTTCAAAGAACTTTTATATTTTCTTATAAACACAAAGCATGTGTTTGGGGTGGCACAGACCTAAGCTGTGTCTGGTGGCAGATGAGCCCTGGGGTACATCATGTTGGTTGGGGGTTATTTTTCCTGAAGCTTCGAAGCAGAAGCTTCTGTAGCTGTTCATGCCAATGTTTTATTCTGGTGTGAGGATGAGGGCAAAATTATTGGTGAGGTTTCCCTCCCTCCCCCCGCCCCCACACACAGCATACACACAGATCTGAGCTCCTAAGTTCTATGAAGCCAAAATTAGAGCGCAGGCCAAAAGAGGGTGTGTGAGTACTGGCAGTGAGGCAGAGATCACACAGTGGGCTGCAGTTGGTGCAGGAATCGCTGTGGGACTAAAGAGACTGGGTTAGAGGAGGAAGGTGGGGGCAGCTGATGGGTAGTTCTGTAAAGGAAAGTTTCAAGTTTTTAGGGGTCTCAAATGGTCTGTTCCAGAAATCTCAAAGGTTCCTCAGCGAGACTGTTTCCACCTCTGGGGGAACAGACACAGTGTGGGAGGGCAACGAGCATTGAGCACGGGCCACTCTGGCCGTCTCCTGCTTAGCTAAAAGGTAGAAGACGGTGATGTAAGTACCAAGGACACCATCATGTCATTGTCTAGAGGCCTTGGGCAGAACCCACGGCAGACACCTAAAAGTGCTGTGTAGGGGACCAGGAAGATGGCTCTGGATAAAAGCTGGTCATGCAACGCTGACAACCTAAGCTGATTGCCAAAAGCTTTATACAAGGCCAGATCTGACGCCTCCCTGTAACCTGGGCGCTCCCGTGGTGAAATGGGAGGTGGAGATGGGAGATTGGAAGCTCGTAGGTTACCTAGTTTGGAGTACATAGCACGGGCACAAGTGTGGCCCACGAGAGAGACCTTGCATCATGTACCGTGAGCTACGTGTGTGCATGTGCGTGTACACAGTGCTCAGCCTGTGACCAGATGCTCTTGACATAGCAATTGCAATGCACTGACTTGGACTCATTAGAAAAACCATTCTTAAGCTGTTCGGACTGCACAGGTTGCTCATGTTAAGAGTGCGCAGTGTGCTTGCACAGGATGTGAGTTTTGTTCCCAGCACATGTTGGGCTGCTCACAACCTCATCTGACTCCAGCATTCCAGCAATGCACTGACACATAATAAAATAGTAAACGTTGAAAACGCATTGCTTTCAAAAGACTACTAAGCTGTCTGCATTCCTCACTCCAAAGAAGCCTGCTTACATTTAGGTATGCTATCTGAAGTAGCTAAGCAGGTTCTGGGGCTTAGAGGAGTAAGGTTTTCCTGTCTTGAGAAATTAGAGCATCATGGATAGGGCCCGGGATGGATGAAATGTCGATTAAAAAAGTGATTCTCAGAGTAGTTTGGGAAAGGTGCTGGGATTGAGTCTGCCACTCAGCGCAGGTAACTAGAGAAAAAGCTTGGTAATCTGTAAAATGGGGCTACATCTTTGCAGGTTACTTGTGAACTAAGTGGGCCACTAGTTCCACAATACTAAATTACTAGGGGCTGGAGACAACTCTGGTAGAGTGCTTACTTAGCTTCCACAAGGCCTTGGGTTCAATCGCCAGCATCTTCTTTGTTCATGCCCCTTTTTTTCTGTCCCTTGGTAGTTCCTATTCTACATGCAGCTCTGTGTGGTTGCTCCCCCTTGCTGCTCTCCTCGGGGACACTGTTAACTGTTTTCTGGGTGTGGAGACGGGAGTGGAACTGATCACACAGGAAATGTCACCCAAGGGAAGTAAGGCTTCATTAAGGTGTTCGGGTGCTGTCTCCGACACTGCCTTCATCCTGAGTGAGGCCAGCCACATCCTTAGAGGAGAGTGCATGGTTTCTTAACAAAAGTATTTGTTGTGTGACAAGACTTCCTGGGGAGATGCCGCAGACACATGCCTCCCCATCCTAGGTTGGGAGCCCACAGCAGATCAAAGTCGGGTCTACTTCTGAAGAGCTTGATGAACCAATGAACTAGTTTTATTGGGTACTTGCGGGAACATTGGTGAGGGCTTCCTTACAGGAGCAGAAATGACTCAATGACAGCTCATCACCAAAGCCCACCCCAGCATGGATGACAGCTCACAAAAGCTGGGGATCCCGGAGCACATGGCATAGCCTGTAGCCAGCACGGCAGGCTGAGAGTGTTGTTTCTAACTGACCTCGTTAGTCTAAACCTCTTTCAGGCAGCTCAGCCAGTCACTGCTTCTTCCAGGCCCCCTGACTGCCCTGACAGTCTTTGGAGCTTGAGTTGTCTGCTTTGGAGAAGAAGCCTTCCTGCTTTAAGTGCCACCATTTAACCTTGCAGTAGGAAGGTCAATTTACGCCCTCTTGCACGAGTGTCTCTGGTATCAAAGCCATGATCAACTTGATAAAGTACTCCCAAGGAAAGTTTAGTTATAAACTATAGTTTTGTGTTAAACAATTATTTAGAAAGATAGGCAACAATAATAACAGAAGGAGCATCCTAATGCACCTGCTATAATTTACTTCGGTGAACTTTAAAAACAGTTTGGAGGCTGGCAAGATGGGCCATTAAATTAAGGCGCTTGCTGCCAGGTCTGTCCCTGGTGGATGAGGGCCGACTCCACAGACTCGGGTTTTCTGACCTTCTCATGCACACTGTAGCACGAGTCAGTGCCCGCCATCCACCTTGGGCTCCAGCAACAGAACCCGAGTCATCAGACTTGGCAGCAAGATAATTTGCTCTGGGTTTATAGCTCGTCAGTGGTGAAATCAATCCATATTCAGGGCTGTCTTGGTTATTAACTACAGTTCTCTATGTGGCGTACTGTGATGTTCCCTTGCAAGGGTTTGGAGGGCTCTGTGAGCTGGAGGGGTCAGAGCTTTATCATTGACAAATTTTGTGGACAAGACCACAGAGTTCTAGTGTGATGGGTGACTGGGTACCAGTGTCCGGAGATGAAACAATCCCTTCCATAGGTAGGTGATGCTCTTTGAGAAATCTCAAGAACTTTCCCCAAGGGCAGCAAAGCCTGTGTGGCAGCGATTGGCATGTGCTATTTCATATCATGAAGCTGATGGCTGTGGTGGGCACTAGGGTTACTAGGAAACTTGCTCTTGGGAGCTGGCTAAAAAGTTTTAATCATGAGAAACTCAAATATTTTTCTTTTTATTGCCAACCTAGAATCTTTTTCATTAGTGGAATACTAGAAAACACCCATAGTTATCAACCCCGATATGTGTTTGATATGCTGTCCTAGGTCTGCTTAGTTGGACGTTGTCAGTTTTCATGATTGTAGACAATGCTATGAAGAACAGCCTTGCTGTAAGTTGGTGCACACACTTATTCCTTATGACAATTTCCTAGAAGCACAATTATTTTACACAAAATACGAATGCTTTACTGCATTTCCAGTATATGTTGCCACATGTACGTTTGAGGACTGTGTTTTGCCTTGTACCCTTGCTGAGAGTAAACACCATCCCCATCGCCCGCTCTTTTTCGAATGATTGATTTTGGTGTGGTTGAGACTTGATTTGTAACATCCCGTATTTCTCATGTTGTACTTTCAGCAGTACCTGAAATTCAGATTTGTGGAAGTGGCTGGAGACTGTTTCCTACCTTAAACACACAGGAAGTAGAGAAAGGACAAGCCTCTCCCACTGTTTACTTTTGAGGACTAGATGTGACCTTCAGCAGGTAGGAGTACTTCCTGAAGTGACCTAGTCTGATCCTGCATTTATCTTGTTAATTCAAAGGAAAAATGCCCAGAAAATATGTGTAACAGCTAAATAGGGCTCCTATGAAAGCATGGAGTAGACCCCAATTGTTGTAGTGAGGAGGGCAGTGGGGCTGCATCTCCGGCATCTTGCCGCTCACACGGCTAGCTTTACCCAAAATAATTACATGGAAACTGTATTCATTTAAACATTGCCTGGCCCGTTAGTTCCAGCCTCTTATTGGCTACTCTTACATATTGACCTAACTCATTTCTAATAATCTGTATAGCCCACGAGGTGGCTTACCAGGGAAGATCTTAACCTGCATCTGTCTGGAATGGGAGAATCATGGCAACTCACTGACTCAGCTTCTTTCTCCCAGAATTCAGTTCTGTCTACTCCGCCTACCTAATTTTCTGTCCTATTAAAGGGCCAGGGCAGTCTCTTTATTTAACCAATGAAATTAACACAAAACAGAAGACTCTTCCCCCATCACCCAATCAAAAAGCAGGATTGAATTCATCGCTCATTATCTTCAGAGAGCAGGCAGAGTTGGTCAGATGTCTCCAACATCTCCAACATGTCTTAGACATCTGAGTAGTCATCTAAATACTATACCATACCATACCATACCATACCATACCATACCATACCATACCATGAATATAGTCTTCTTGTCAAAGAACTGATTGTGCTGGCACAGAGAAAAAGGGCCCTGAAAGAGTTTTAGGGAGAGATACCTTTGTCTGTGGATTAATATTAACAAACCTATAATCCCAACACTTAAGTGGTAGTAGAGGCAGATGGATCAGAAGTTCAGTGATAGCATTGCCTACATATGAAGCTGTAGTCTAGCTAGTGCTACATGGTATCCTGTCCCCCAAAACAAAATACCCCTCTCCCTACATAAAAAAGGATGGAGGGAAAGGAGGTAAAGAGAGAGATGGGAAGACTGGGAGACAGAAAGATAGTAGACAGATTAGAGGGAGTTAAGAGGCCAGGGAGCACAATCCTTGAAGGGTGGTTAGCTGCAGGAAAGCCGTGCAGTCTCTGTGAGTGTCCATGAGAGCTGGAGCAGAATGTTTTGAAGTTCTGTGCAGCTCCTGATGTCTCCGATGGAGCAGGCAGTAAGGGCCCACTTAACTCAGAAGCCATGTCTAGGGTTGCTCAGTATGGTGCCAGATGCCGCAGTGGAAACATTCTTGTGTCGCTTAGTTAAAATAGACCCTTCATAGCTGATACCAGCATATTTATTTGGGTTTTCATGCTCATTCTTTCAGCTCTCCCCTTGTCCCAGGCAGAGTGGGATGAGTTCCAGCTTTCTGCCTGGAAGACAGAAAGGACAAAGGCTGCCGTGTTTCCTCTCCAGGTGCCTCCTCCCTCCCTTTCTCCTTTAACCGCCTTTCACCTTCTCTGTGAAGACGAACCGTTTCACAAGAAACCCTTTCGCCCTGTGTTCTACAGCCTTTCTACCCAAATCAGGAGACCCCAGGACGACTGTCCTGCGTCATAGCCATGCAGGGTGAAAGTGACCTATGCCCCAAAGTGGCCGTTTAACCCCCTCCTCTCGTCCTTTCTCATTTAGTTGTGTTTTCACGGAAACAGAGCATTTTGAATTCCGAGCATTTGGAGCTGATGCTGTTGTTTTTCACAAGAAGACAGGAAGAATGAACTGAAGAAGGGACCAGGGACCCCATTCCCCACATAAATGTATGTGCCCGTATCCTCACACACACGCCCACTTCCCCGACTGTGCCTGGGAGGATAATTAATCATAATATTCTTTAGCATCTTGCCACACTTACTTGTCTACATATTTAGCCTGTGTATCACATGCTAAGGTGCTCGTATGGAGGTCAGAAGCGTCCGTCCTCTCCTTCCATTGTGTGGGACCCAGGGATCAAACTCAGGTCATCAGGCTTGGCAACAAGCATCTTTTCTCCCACTAAGCCATCTCGCGGGCCTCAGTCAATCTTCTGTTTGGGGTTCCATAGGATCCTAAAGTGCAAGCAGCTTTGGAGGAGATTGGGTCCAAGAGCATCTCAAGTCATGCCTTCCCCAGAGCGTCACTACCAAATGCTCGTCAAGACTCGTGGGGAGCAGGCTACGGTCTTGCACAGTTCAAATCCCAGTCAGATCTGAGTTTCAAGCCAGCCTGGTCAACACATGGAGACTCAGGACAGCCAGGGTTACATAGTGAGACACTTAATCTGAAAAAAACAAAAAGGGAGAAAAGACTCAGATAGAGACCAATATTTCTCCATCTTAAAAACACATACAAATATTTGAAAATAATATTCTGTGTCTTCAAACCTTCTCGTCCCCCAGATGCCCCCATTTTAGTCATTTAAACTGGGTGAAGGAGAAATGAAAGAGCATGGACAGAAAGTGAAGTCAGGTGAGTACCTACTGAGCACTAGCAGTAGGCAGGATGCCGGCTAGGCTAGGAGCCTCGGTATGGTGGAAGTCTAAGAGGCGGGATCCAAAGCAATCCCCTTCAGAGCATTGAAGATTCAGAGAGCAGCTTGAGAGCCTTAGAGATCCAAAGCCCACGCAAACAACCATTCAAGTGGCCAATATGAAAACCACCTCTGGTTGTCTTTCGTTCATGGCTGAGTGAGCTGGCATGAGAGAAAGAGAGTTTCTAGAGGAACACTGGGCAGTTCGGAGGAGGAGCTGGATGTGGGAGATGCTGTGAGTTTGGGAGGAACTCAGAGAGCTGAAGTGGCCACTACAGGCAAAAAGAACACTTTGGAGTGAAGGAGGGCACATAACACAAAACTCAGAATTGAGTTTGCTTGTGTGAACCTTTTGATAATTGGACACATCCATGAGATTTTGGGCCAATACATGAGAAATTAGCGATTCAGAGGTAAGAATGGGGTCACAGGCCAGGTTTTTGCACCCCGACTTATACGGAAACTCCGTTTCTTGTCAGTATTGATGATTGGGGGAAAGTACAAGGGACAAAAATTGCTGATTCCTGGTTCCTCAATAACCCTGGTGGAAACGCGCTGAGGAGCGATTTGGTGGGAGGAAGGCAGGAACATTTAGAGGGTGTTCGACCTTAAATTGACAGACGGTGAGCCGAGCTTTCCCCAGGCCCTGTGTTTGGGCAGTGCACTGACTAATTGCATCCAGTTCAGAGCAGGAAGTCGGCCTGCAGCTGAGCAAGTGAAAGTCTGCACGGAACTTGCAGAGTGCAACTGCAGGCAGTGGTACCAGGATAGACCACCCCAGGACTCTGAATCAGCCCCGCCTTCCGATGAGATTTATCCCATACTTGTCAAAGAACCACCCAGAGTATAGAAGGAGAGCCAAGATGCTTCTTAGATATCGGGATGTACAGGGAGCTTAAGATGTCTCTTTTCTTATTCAACGGACTTACAAGGAGGTTTGATGGTCAGTTTCCCAGTTTCAGAAAACTTCACACCTTCCGCGAACCCACTGCCCTGCTCTGTGTGTCAGTTTTACTATGCAGACCAGGCTAGCATAGTCATGGTTCCCTGGCCTCAATTTACAAGGACTGGGTTTACCAGTGTTGGAAACCACACCACATCCCCATGTGGCTTTATGGGACATGCAGCAGTTTCTCTAACATTCTTGAGTCTGGGGCACCTCTACTTCCTACAGGAAGTCTGTGATGTGGCTACTCGGGTAGCTGGTGAAAATGAAGTCTCTACTGGACGTGGTGAGTCACACTTTTAATCTCGGAACTTGGGTGGCAGAGACAGGTGGCTGTCTGCGAGTTCGAGGTCTACACGGCGAGTTCCAAGACAGTCAGGACTACATAGATCCTATCTTAAAAAACCTAAATCAATAAATAAATAAGAAAAGAGAAAGAGAAAGAAAATGGAGCCTTCGCTTTCAAATAGGCTCACCGGGACTAATAAGTTAGATGGTTTTGAGACCCAACACTGGGTAAAAAAGGTCTTTCTAGATGGCAGGCTTGAATCTGAGCTTCTCATACCACATCTTGGTGCTGACTTCCTCCTGAGATGACCTTGTCTTCTCTGCATCGCTTTGCTCTGCGTAGACATCATAAGACTGTTTTGTGTTTCAGCGTGTAACCTTACTTGTAGAACCCCTATGCTGTGAAAGCACAGTGTAGGTTTGTTTGGGAACTGTCTGAATCCTAAACTTGTGCCTCGAAAGCCCCTTGTCAACTCAGACACTAGGGGTGTGTCAGCTACGATCTCATTTCCTTCCGGGGCTAACTCAAATTTCTGTTGTTTTTATGCACAAGGACTTTATGCTGTGCCATCTATCCTGGAAGAGGCTCTGTCTTTAAAATTCCTAAAGGGGCCGGGCGATGGTGGCGCATGCCTTTAATTTCAGCACTTGGGAGGCAGAAAGCAGGCGGATCTCTGTGAATTCGAGGCCAACTTCGTCTACAAGAGCTAGTTCCAGGACAGGCTCCAGAGCTGCAGTGAAACCTTGTCTTGAAAAACTAAAATAAGTAAATAAAAAATAAAGTCCCTGAAGGACCACAGGTAAATTCTCTCTGAAACAGCAATGCTGTCTGATCTACCCCAAAGAGCACAGCTCCCCTGGATTTAGAAGAAATCTGTATTTCTCCAGTATAATACTCAGCTGTTTCTCTTTCCCATGTCCCAATTTTATCAACCTTTTCTTAAAGCCAAGCTTGACTTAGTGTAGTTGATGATAGGGCACCATTATGGTGGCTTTCTTGATTTAAATGGCACCCAACCATTTAAATGACATATTCACTTATTTTATGTGCACGAGTGTTTTGCCTGCAAATATATGGGTATGTGCACTGCGCGTGTGCCTTGCGCCAGAAGAGGATATCATGTTTCTTGGAACTGAAGCTATGGGTGGTTGTGAGTCATTGTGTGGCACTGGGACTTAACTTGGGTCCTCTGCAAAAGCAGCCAGCTCTGTTAATCATGGAGCCATCTCACTAGTCTCTCTTGCTTTTTATATTTCTTCTCCTTACCCTCTCCAGAGTGGATGCTTAATAAATTGCTGCTAACAAGGAAATGGAAGTGCAATGCCATGGTCTCCACAGAGATCTGAGAGAGCCCGCCCTCGCCCAAACTGGACCCCTTTCTCCAATGACCTATAACTTCTTCCACCCAGGGCTCTCTCTCTGCATTCTGCCAAAACTCTGTTCTTGCTTTTTTTTCTTATTTTTCTCCCAGAGCTTTTGTTTCCTCCCTTACACCAATTCTTTCTTTCCTCCTCTCTGCTTCTGCCCTTCCCTTTTTTCCTCCCTCCCTTTTCCTTTCCTCCCTGCCGCAGTTCCTTTGTTTTCCCTTCTCTCCCCCCTCTTTCTTTTTCACTCCTGACTTGGTCTCTGGCAGGATCTCTAGCTCGCTATGCAGCCTAGCGTGACCTAAAACTTTTGAACTTTGAGTCTTCACCTCCTCAGGGCTGTGATTGCAGGCAAATAGCACCACACCTCGTTTGTGGCCGTGCTCGAGATACTCCAGAGCTTTGTGTATGTGAGGCCACCACTCTACCCTGTGAATACATCGCCGGCCCACCAACCCTTTACCAGAGAGAAGGAGAGAAAGACTGAAGAAGAAAGGCAGAAAGAGAAAACCAGAGCCACACAGGCAGAAGGGAAAGCAGGCTTCTGTGGTTTCGTTCTGTTAGCTCACACTCAATAATTCCTAGTCTCAGAAACATCAGCACATGGAGACTCATGCACAGCTTCTTTATGTGACGAATAATCAATAGAGCTGAAAGGAAGGACTGACTGGGCATAGGCGCACACACGGAGGCCGGCAGTGTGCTTTTGAGGGAGGCCTGGTCTCCATAGTAATCTGAGTTCAAAGCAATAGAGAAATCTTGTTTCTACAAAGAGGGAGAGACAGAGACAGGTTAGTCAGCCACAGTGAACTGTGACCTGGTGTTGCTTCTAAAAAACACATGGTGGGGTTCATTATTTATTTCAACCAGATTAAAAAAAATTAACAAATCACCCTGAAACTGGAATTATCCCACTACATTATATTGGGAAGAAAGGATTATGTGGACGTGGTGGGGTCTACAGGGCTATCAATCACATCTCAACATCTTTATATTCAATAGGAGACCCAGGGCTAAGGAAATGGAGTCTGGATTTCTTGTGCTAGGGACTAAGAAGACAAGCTATATCTTTAATTAGCTCAAATAACCTAAGAAAAAGAAGAATCTTTTGCTTGAGGGGTCAACAAGATGCAAGAAGCACGGGGTTAGAGAATAAAATTCAGGATATTCTGATGTCATTCTAGTCTGACTTTGACATAAATATATAATCTCCAGGAAAATAAATCACTAGGGGATAAACACAAGGTTAAAATAAATCACATACTAACAACTTTTGTTTGTGAATTAGGTAATAAAAGACCTCAGTCTAAAGTTTGAATTTAATTCTAATTTATAATACCCTTTAAATGTAGTATATGATAAAATGGCTTGTCTTGTCTTATGAGAAATCAGAGCTCAGATAAAAAGCAAAAGGAAACAGGAAAGACTAAATTCCTTGAATGTCCCCACCAGTCTGCTTGGATTGGGTTAGGAGACAAATAAGTAACGCCTGGGTCCCAGTGGTTTGTGAGACCAGATGCTCTGCTGCCGTGCCCAATGTGGGTCAGCTGGGAGACAGCTCACTGACCCAGCTCTGAAGATGCAGGCTGATGGAGGGGCCGCCCTCTCGCCACCTTATCATTTCCCCACACAGTCCCACAATCCCTGAGGCAGAAGAAGAAAGTCATGGCGAATGACACACGGGTTTTACACTCTTTTGCCTGGCAGTGACTCACATGCATTTCATGGGCCAGAGCAAGACAAAGAGTGAGGAGGGAAAAAAAAGCAACACCCTATTCCCGGAAGCAGAGAACAGTTTTTTGATGAACGCATTAGCGCCTTCCAGTGTCTACCTCTCTTTCCATCAAACACTTTGTTCTCCATTTTCACAGTGTTTTGACGTCTTCCCTAAGAAAAAGCACCCTAAGATACCAATCACTCGATTAGAGTATCTAGTGCAAACCTAGCGTTTATTACATAACGTCTGACCGTCTGGCTGATAGACAGTAGGTCTTTAGATAGACAACTTCACAGATAAAACAGAAGCAGGAAAACAGCAATATATATTTCAATTTGGAAAGAAGAATGGGAGACGAGCATGTATTTATTTGGGTTTGGGTTTGTAGCTTTGGCATTTTGCTTGGCTGGGTCACAGGCACCTCTTATGCTTGACATACATATTATCACAGGATTGGAACTTGGGTTCTGGATTTGGAAGGAGCTCACTTTAGTTTTACTCTGTGGTTCCTGGTGGTACCTGAAAATTAATTTTCCCCCTCCTAGTAATCTCTTTGATGCATATAAAATAGTGTTGATAAAGAATCTTTGCTAGGGCTTTCATACTTGCCCCTTGATGGTTAAGGTATGGGAATCAGTTCCTGGGTAATTTTGAGAATGCTCTCAAAAGTTGAGAAATTTCTTACATATGTTAGAATTCTCTTTCGAAGCACAGTTCTCAGAACACCTATGTGTTGACAGAGGTTTCTGTCCTGCATGGTCTTGCAGCCATTCAGTCCCAAAGAAGAAACAGAGACTTACATTAATTATAAACTAGTTGGCTTATTAGTTCAGGCTTATTATTAACTCTTATAACTTACATTAACCCATAATTCCTGTCTGTGTCAGCCACATGGCTTGGTAGCTTTTATCAGTGAGGCCTTCTCATCTTGCTTCCTCTGTGTCTGGGTGATGACTGCAGACTGAGCCTTTCCTTTTCCCAGAATTCTCCTATTTTGGTCACCCCCCATATTTCCTGCTTGGCTACCGATCAATCAACATTTTATTAAACCAATGCAAGTAACAAATCTTTACAGGGTACAAGACCATTGTCCCACAGCACCTATGTTTCTTTCTGTGTTCCCACATCTCTCCCTTCCTCTCTTGACTTGGTGGAAGATTACTAGAAAGGCATTCACACACATTTTATCTGAGTTCCTGCATCCAGTTATTTCATGCTTCCTTCTGATTTTCATCCTTGGGAAATTTGTTTGGCTGAGGGGTGTGTCTGTGCCTTTCTTCCGGAAGCCTTTTTGCGATTGTCTTTTACTTTTGGTGGGTAGGAGCAGATGTTTCTTTCCTATCTTGCAGGACTCTAGACTTCTGGATTCAATTCTCTGTTTACAAGCCTTTCAGGCCTGCTCTGAACTCAGTTTCTTGGTTGTGTACCTTTTGTCAATTCAGAAAAGTCTCACATAGACAAATAAGGTTCTGGTTTCTAATCTCTTTCTTTGAGGAAACAAATTAATTAGATACAATATCTGCCTTTCAAGTATTGCATTTTTTTTTACCAAATGCATTGTGCTATAGAACATAGATTATCATTTATCTGGCCTGTAATTTAACTGCCTCAAGTACAATTAAATTGTTTAAGCTTCTGTTGTGTTAGTGCCTCGTTTTCAGACATTAATTTCTGTGTTTTCAGATACGCTGCTCTGCTATAGCAGAGTCTCTCTCTCTCTCTCTCTCTCTCTCTCTCTCTCTCTCTCTCTCTGTGTGTGTGTGTGTGTGTATTGTAATGTATTTGCACTTGTGTGCTGGGACACACACACACACATAGGTCAGATAATGGCTTCTGGAGTCTTCCTCTATCATTTCCTACGTTGCTGTTATTATTTTGAAGTAAGTCTCTCCCTGAGCCTACAGCTTGTATTTTGGCCAGGCTGGCTGGTCAACAAGTTCCCAGAACCAATCTGACTTTGTCCCTTGATTTTGGGGTTACAAGTATACCCAGCTTTATGTGGGTGCTGAGGATTTGAACTTAGGTCTCCATGCTTTCACAGCAAGTTTTCTTACCCACCAAGCCACCTTCCTCTAGCAGACTAGATTCAGCTGTATAGAATGAGGATAGTTTCCTGAAGTTGGATTTGTAAGATTAAATGTTTAAATTTTATGCCATCAAGATCACCATCAATTTCATGCTGCTATTTTATGTAATATATGTATGATGGTTTTCATTGTATAACCACATTTTAAACTTCTTAATACAAATTTATAATAGTACAGACTTAGTACAGTCTCTTACCTGGAACAATAGCCCACAGAAAGCATTTGTGGAGTATGACTCCAAGCACATAGTAGTATAAACACCTGATTTACCTGGGAAGAACTGCTGAATTGATTCAGGCTAGATTACAGATCTGGATGTGTTGGTGCTAGGCAGCTATCAGTTTGGCAACCTGGTAAGCTGTTTTCCCTCTGCAGCAGACAGCATTTTGAGCGCAGACGTGAAAGTCAGTGCTGCTTCCTTCACATGGAAGGTGTGTTTTCCTCTTCCTCTGCGGCGGCAATCCAGCACATCCTCCATACTGTCTGGTGTTTTCAGCTCTTGCTTTCAGGGTGGCTCTTATACTCTTCTATGCACGAAAGCACCGCCATGAGGGAAGAGACTCCTGAAGAAAGTGGGCATGGTAACAAGCCTTCTGTTGCTGTGGCAACACACCTAGCAATCAACCTAAAGGCATAGAGACTTATTTTGGCTCACGGTTTCAGCAGTTTCAATGTATGATCATGTGGCACCATGCTTTTCAGCCAGGATGAGGCAAGAACATTGTGTGGTTTTCTTGAGGGGAAAGCTGTTCACTTCATACTGTCTCCAAAGGAAAATCTGAATGGAGGGAGGGACGGAAGGAGAGAAGGAAGGACCTGGAAAAAAATATAGTCCTCAAATCTATTCTTCCAGTCACCCACTTCCTCTTATTAGTCCCTATCTATCAGAATTTCTGTCATTTTCTAGTCCATTAAGTTATAAATTTAATACATTCATAAGAATGTCATAATGAAGCCAGGCAGTGGTGGCACATACCTTTCATTCTAGCATGCAGGAGGCAGAAGCATGTGGATCTCTGAGATCGAGGCCAGCCTGATCTACTAAGAGAGTTCCAGGGGCTGGAGAGATGGCTCAGCGGTTAAGAGCACTGGCTGTTCTTCCAGAGGTCCTGAGTTCAAGTCCCAGCAAGCACATGGTGGCTCACAACCATCTGTAATGAGATCTGGTGCCCTCTTCTGGTCTGCAGATGCACATGCAGACAGAACACTATGTACATAATAAATGAGTAAATAATTTTTTTTTTTTAAAGAGAGAGTTCTAGGACAGCCAGGACTGCTCAGAGGATCCCTGTCTTGAAAAAATAAATAAATAAATAAAAAAACCACAAACAAACAGAAGAATGTCCTAATGAAGTCTATTATTTTATATGCTAGTCAAAAATTTATCTCTCTGTGTATAATATAGCCAATATCAGAGTTCTAAATAATTCACCTTAAAGCTAATAAGTAAAAAATTTAAAAAATCTATAAACTTATAAATAAAAAGTTGTCAAACCCACTTCCCAAGCTCCTACTTCTGAACTGTGCTGCAGTGGTCAGCAAGCCATCAACACACAACCCTTTGGCAGTCAGTGCAGATCCAGAAGGAGTAGTGAATGCCTCAGTTTACCCAATTTATCCCAGAATTAAGAGCCTCACTCATATATTGGTTTGCTAGCATGAAGGATATAAGCAAAAGTTGAAATCTAAAAGCATGCTGCTAGCCTTCACGAAGCCAGTTTCACTGTGCTCATGAGCTGTCCTAGGTGAGGCCTTAAACTTCTCTGTAAGAGAAGCATGGGGATTTCAGTCTGGCTAAAGCACTTGTATGGACACTGCGTGTGCATAGAAACTGTACCGTGTGATGTAGAATGCATATTTGAGAATGTGCATTTGGGGAGGGGCTGAAGAGACCCGTATTTATTAATATCCTAGAGAACCATCCTGACCAGAAGCAGGCAAAAGACAGATGGGATTTGATCTTACCAAGAATGAGAAGAGAGCAATGTCGAAGAAGACACTTGGAGAGTCATCAGGTGGGAGGTGAACTTCTGATGGCTGCAGAGAAGGACACAAACCTCCACAGACAAAGACAGGAGCCATGTGGTTGTACGGCACGCCCTGGCAGAACTGTGATTGGTGCGGGATGCTCTCCAGTTAGTGGTGATTTAGTCAAACATGTTGACAACGGACGACAACAGTTTTGTGTTCTAGACCATACTCTGAACTTGGGAAGGAAAATGTGCACATTTACCTGATTGTTAAGAATTTTGGTTGTAGAATTTTATACACAAATATATAGTTTTGATCAAATCCACCCCCACTCCTTGCATTTGAGGAAGCTTCATTTTGTAGTTGATGGTAATTGACACAGGCTCATAACTGGTCAAAGTGTAGAATTTTTTTTAAATTTACTTATTTTTATTTTATATGCATTGATGTTTTGTCTGCAGGTATGCCTGTGTGAGGGTGTCGGACCCCCTGGAACTAGAATTACAGACAGTTGTAAACTGCTATGTGGGTGCTGGGACTTGAACTTGGGTCCTCTGTAAGAACAGCCAGTGCTCTTACCCCCTGAGCCACCTCTCCAGACTCTAGGAATAATTTTTTTTTTTTTAAGAAGTAAGCTGCTGTTTTTGAGAGAGGGAAATGATTGTGTTTCCCTAGCATAAATGCCTGTGCTTAACAAATGCTCATTGCCTTGATCTGAACAGAGACAAACGAATTTCACGCAAGTCCACAAACTATGCCCCAAAGCATGTCCAGTCTTCTATTTGTGATTCACTTCACTAACAACAATGGTCCCCAATCAGAGTTAACTAATAGTCACATCTATTGTGTGATTGATTATTTGCTAAGCCCAGTCGGGGTCTAGTCAGAGGGTTAAAACAATGAGTTTAGGGAAACCCCCAAACTACCTGTGGATGTAATTTCTGCATCTCTCCGGTACCAGTCATTCTTTGGTTTTATTTTCCCATCCGTAGTGTTTAAAACCAAGCCTTGGTAAGGATGACTTTACCCTCATGTCAACCAGGGATTCTCCTGCCTGACCTGAAAGTAGAAGCCACAGTGCATGACAAGAATGTTGACGATTTGCGGAAGAATTAAAGATTGTGACAGTAATCTGTGACTCGGTTCACCTCTGTCGTGAAGATAATGAGAGAGGATAGGGGGGAGTAGAAGGAAAAGAAGATGGGTCCATTTTCCGTCATCCCCCTTTAGGGTCCCCCTTAGGTTCCCCTTCAGGAAGTGGAGTAGAAAAAAAAAACCCTGCATTGTCAGTAACTCTGGGTCAACCACAAGTTACAAATAGTAAGGAGGTCAATGGAAACAGGGACAGTGATTACTATAAAACCGACGGGTCCCGTCGTTGACATACCCAGGGAGGCGTGCTCAGAAGAAAGTGTTTCCTGAGCAAAGAGGCAGCCCGCTGGAAAGAAGCATGCAGAGAACACGCGAGACAGCCGTGGTGAGTGGTGCTGGTATCTAGGGCGAGGGTAACTGCGTCGGCACTTTATGAAAGGTAGATTTCCAAGGCTTTAGATCTTCTCGGAGTCTTCTGTGAACTAGGTCTTTTCAAAACAACAAGGTTAACTACGGTAGGACTTTGAGCGGAGGAAGTAGAACTGTCCAGTTAAACTTTCAGATATCTCCTGGAGAAGTTTTTCATATCCTTGATAATAGATTAATTAATTAATATGTATGATCTTATTCCTTGTAGAAGCTAGTGGAACGTTAATGAGGACTGGAATTCTACTTCTCACCGCTCACAACTAGAATCGTGCCTGTCATTAATTGGATAAACCTGGGAAGGGTTTGCTATAGCGGCACGTGGACCAGGCTTAGGAAATCCAATGCTGTGTTATCGGTTCTGATGGTCTTCTGATTTTCCTTGTATGAGTCTTGCAACTCCAAAAATCTTGGCTTTTATAAACGGCACCTGTTCTCTGACAGTGGTGGTTTTTGCTTGATTGTCAGTTTGTTATTTTAGAAATTCCAGCAGGCCACCAAAGCACAGTATTTAGGGACAGAGGCTTTGAAGTCACAGGTTTGGCCCTGCTACCTGCTAATGTGGGATTTGGTGTTAGTCACTGACTTTTGTGAATCGACTTTGCGCAGTCATGCAGCAACATATTGACAGTGTCTCCCTTATAGTGGTTTGGGAAGGGAGAACTGATATATTGTGATGAATCTCTACTTGTGAGGTAGATCACGGATGCTTAGTTTTTAGTTAATTTGAGCACTCTAATTTGCTGGAAGAGATAAAAGGTAGAAAAGGCCATGTAAATGCTAATTCTTAATATTATTGTTTTTGTTGTATGTTTTGCTTTTTGAGACAAGATCTTCCTGTGTGGCCCAGGCTAGTCTTGAGTTTGGTATGTAATTCGGGCTGGTCTGCAATTGGCGTTCCTTCTGCCTCACTCTCTGGAGTGCTGGAACTATAGGAGTGTGCCATGAATTCTGGCTCAGACACCCTCATCGAACCATACAAACAGACAATTAACATTTCCGCCATTACACAGTGAAAAGGAGCTCAGTCATCTGCTTTTTGTTTGCTGTCATTAAACCCTGTAATGCCGAACTGAGTCTGGGCCTAGCAAGAGTAAGTATGCTTCTTTGTGGATGACAGAAAGGCAAGATTTTTTTTTTCTTTAAAAAATTTATTTACTTTTATTTCATGTGCATTGGTGTTCTTTTTCTGCATGTTTGTCTGGGAAGGTGTCAGATCTTGGAGTTACAGTTATTAGCTACTATGTGGGTGCTGGGAATTGAACTCAGGACCTCTGAAAGAGCAGTCAATGCTCTTAACCCCTGAGCCATCTCGCCAGCCCTGAGAGGCAAGATTCTTTTGTTTTTTGGCCTTATGAATAAAAAGCACATTTTATTCATCAGCCATGATGAATCAGGCATTTTGTAGATCTTTTTTTTGTTGTTTTGTTTTGTTTTTTTGTTTGTTTGTTTGTTTTTAAATATTTTTTATTGAAAAAAAA